ATTTTCATATGGTGAGTATTCTATGCCCTTTGATGAACTGTTTTTAAAGTTTTTGTGAACAAATATATTTTTTCATTCGAGCAATTTTAGTGTCCCAAAGGACTTTACTCTTTTGGTGAAAATGTACATTTTTTTCTCTCTTTAATTGGTCTGCTATTGTGTGTGATTTTCTCATTGTTCAAGTGAATGTCGTCATAAAAGTAAGACAGAATCAGTCATTGGGATATAACAATGGACTTGTTTTTTCCTCTCACAGTAAGTGTTTGTTTATTTCTTTTATAATTTCTTTTTTTATTTTTTTTGGTCAAACTAGATTATAATTTATCTTTTTACATATTTTTGGCTTTATGAGCATACATCTTTGGTCACTCCTGCTGCACGTGATGCCAGAGCTTGAATATTGAGGTGGTCAATAAATGTGAGTTGTAACTTATCTTAAATACATCAAACTTTTAAGAAACTCAACCCTATACAGGTAAGGAATTTTTCTCATTATATGAATTTCTTTGTAGGTTTACAAGTATTTTTTGGATTTTAAAGACGATAATCATCATTTGCTTGCCCCTCCAATTGAAGGACGGCTTAGTCCTGTAAAACTTATTTCACACCATGAAACTCATTCCACATCGCATTCACCAGTTTCATATGATGTTGATCCATTCATTTCAAAGGTCATCACTCTGCAGTTAACATTTATGGGAGTCAATAAAGTTTTTGAAGAAATAATTCAATTACTTAGAAATCGGGAAAATTTTCTTTTTGAATTTCAAGAATTAATAGATAGTTGAGTTTTTGATTTACGAAACATAGTGACAGACATCAAGTCTGAGGTTAATAAATTAGAAAATAAAATAATTTAATTGGACGGGAAATCAACAAAGAAACAAACACATGAATCCTCACTTGGCAATTTAATTCGAAGGGTTAAGACCAAACAAAATAGAAGGAAGAGAAAATTGAGTTCTCATTATATTACATTTGAGTTGAAGATAAGAGAAATAATAAAATATGTTGTGGAACAGCATCGCATAGATGTTGTAGATACTCCAGTCGTAGAGGCTGAGAAGTTTACATATTGAACAAGTTGAGGAAACAATAAAAGATGAAACCATTGTGGAACAATTGACAATAACACATGTTGTAGATACTCTTGCTGTAAGGGGGCGAAAAGTTACTTGTAGATATTGAAGAAGCTGAACAAACAATAAATGATGAAACCATTTTTCAAAAATTAACTAAACAAACAATAGAAGATGTTGTACAACAACAAACATTAATAAATGTTGTGGATATTACAACCGTTTGGGATGACAGGTTACTTCTAGATACTGAATAAGCAGAACAAATAGTAAAAGATGTTGTGGAACCTTTGACGCATTACAGTCACAGATGAAGAGAGAGATCTCCGAGACAACATGAAAGATATTGTTTTGTGCAGATGATTATGTGATAAAGGTATCTTATTACAAAATAACTCTTGTTATTGTGTATCATAACATTTAATTTGGCATTGCAGATGATTACTTTTTGGATATGTAGCTTTGTCTAGCTGAGAAAGTTATCAATTTTTCCGCTGAGAATAGAACAGTAATACCGCTTCAAATGTAGCAAGTAATTGATTGATGTACTGTCAGATACAATGATAAGTCAGTAAATAAATGTTGGCATTTTTCTGTTACGGAATTCTCTTATATTTAAATGTCACAAAAACTATGTCAACGTTGCAGGGGTGATATTATGATTAATGTGGGGCATGTGGTAATAAGTCGTTCTGGCCTTGACGATATACTTAGAAATGATTGGTTTGCAAACGAACATGTCCATGTGTTTGCCCTAATAATAGAGAAAAAGAAGAAAAAATTACTAGCATTATACATGACATCTATATGTATCGCCACTACACTGTAATTATTCAAGTTCAACTAAATCTTGTAAAGTTAACGCAACTTTTATTTGTATTTTTATTCCACGATAACATTTGTGTCATTTTATTTTATGCAAATATATAAAGATTCACTCAACTCCATGTCCGTGCAACACATCACAAATGAAAATGTAAAAGATGGAGAATTATTTTATTTCCTATTGTTGATAAACAACATTGGACATTGTTGGTTGGGAGTTAAATGAGAAAAAGTTGAGTATATGACTTTTACCCAACAAGATGCGCAAGACGATCACTTACAAAATTGTATGTATACTCAACAGAAACCCAGTGATTTGTTATTCAGTTCATATTTTTTGGTATTGTATAACAATTTAATTCAACTGGAAACTCCACATTCAATTTATTTGTAAACGATGTTGTCAAAAGTTTTTCGGAGCAATCTATGGAAATGGCTAGTTGTGATGGCTAATGATCCTTCAGTGCAAACAAACTGTGTTGATTGTGGCATATTTGTCTGCAAATATATGGAAACATTATTACAAGCCGAGAAAGCTGACTGAAATAAGAAATTGGGCTCACAGACAGACATGACAAAATTTAGAGCCAAATTTGCTTATGAACCGTGTTTGTGGGCTATGTCTGATACATAATGGATACTCTGATGATTTAAACTGATAAATTGATTTTCCTGTGTTCGCTTTTTTATCACCACCATATTAAGCGTGCTTCATCTCTTTATTAAAATTATCATAATACTATGACAATACCACAACAATAATACTCCAATAACGTCAAAATATAATTACAATGAGATTATTATAACACCTAAATAACACGACAATAACACCAAGATAATATCACATAACACGTCAATGGAAACACTTTAATGACGCTGCATCAACCACAATAACACTTCAATACAACCGCAATAATACTACCAATAATACTACCAATAACACTGAAATAAAATTTTACTCCAATAACACGACAATAACACCATTTATCGTCGCAATATAACCAAAATAACCCTTCAATAACACAGCAATAACATCTCAATCCAATAATGCGGCAATAACACCTCACTCCAATAATGCGGCAATAATACCTTAATAACATTGCAATACAACCAAAATACCTCTCGAATAATATCGTAATAACACATCACTCCAATAACACGGCAATAACAGCGCAATACACGCACACACTAATAACACCACAATAATCATCAAAATAACATCTCAATAACACCACAGCATAGTGGAATAACATGTCAAAGTAACAACAAAAATAACGCCACAATAACATCAATCTAAGACCACCATAGAACCAGCCCAAATTTGTGGAATAATACCGCAGTACAAGCGATATTGATTAATGATTTATCTCCAATTTTTTATTAATGATTCCAAACTCTTTTAAAACAATTGATTGTCAAATTTGTATGGATTTCTTACACAAATCCATGCACAAACATATATAATTGAAGATTTTGTGAGGAATTATATCTCACGAATGGAATCATCATCAGGCTGGTATATGTTCTCGTGGGTTGTGTTGTAAACACCTCCTGTTATTTTGGAGTAATCATGAGTGCATGTTTAAGAAAATATAAGAATAAAAAATTTTAATGATGTTCAATTTCCATTGTATACCTAAATGAGAGAATTCGACATTGCACTCAAATTTACATTGCATGGGGATGGTTCTTGGCTTGATGTAGTATTTGGGATCTTAAAATTTTATAAATTAAAAATTATGTTAATAGTTTATACTTGATTATTTTGTCATCATTGTTGAGCATACTCGATTTAAAGTTTTATTAAAAGCGTTAAATCTTAGGCTTTGTTTGATTAAGCGGTGAAGACCCGTTCGGTTGGAACAAACACCAACCTTTGCAAATTTTTCATTTGGGGAAATAGCAGGAGACAAATGTCTTCCGAAGTTCTTTCGCAAAAACGGTAAATTTTCGCTCATTCAGATCACTGCTCGTCTACTTCAGTTTGACGAACAAAGTTGTTAGAAGAAATTCGGTGAGTGTCGCCGCTATTTCAAACAAACCTTAGTCATGAGAATATCAAGCCATATAATAAAAAATGATTGCATAAAATATATATGAGTTTAGGAAAGGTAAGTTGATGTCTATTACCTTTGTTTGAAATGAATTTCATTAGTTTCATATTATAAAAATCTATTCGCATGTTTGGCGAGATTCTACCAATCAAGTGGTTCAAGATACTCTTTGGCATATATACACACCATTTGTTGTTGATTCCATCTCTTCAAGTTCCACATTTAATAGACTACATGAAGGATCCCATGTCTCCCTATCTTTGCAAAAAAAGATGTATCACTTTTTAGAAGTTAAAATGGGGGTATTTTTAAGTTGATATGAAAGATTTGGGTGGTATAAATGTAAAAATCAACAAGTTTAGGTGTTAGATATGTAAATACATAAGAATTGGGTGGTATGTATGTAAATAGCTTGGGATATTTTGTCGACACGTATAACCACTATTGTATTGGAATATGCTTTTAGCGCCGCTAGTGGAGTATTATCGGCTGATGATAAGAGCTGTTTATCTACTGAATATGTTAATGCCCTGGTCTATGCGGGAACTCGGATTTATAATTCCAAGTTTTTAAGTTTGGTCTCACTTCATGAACCTGTGATGTTATTAAGCATAGAACTCTATAAAAATTCCAGAATTACCGCATGCTATCAAGAGTTTTAAAAAATTAACAAAATATTCCTCATAATATGCTTGTGAATGAGAATTTTATAGCGTTACTACTGCACATTATTAAAGGTAAAACCAATTTACTAGAAAATGATTGCAACATCTGAACTGGTAGAAAAATAAACTCTCTTGCTTGTAAAGTTCGAATTGAAAAAATGAATTATTAGAAAGTCAAAATACTTTAAACATAGAGCATTGAACTTGATATGGTAATGAAACTGTGGAGATTGTCTAGTTCGATCGGTCTTGCTCCATTCTACATTAGCAAAAATTTCGTGTGATAAAGCTAATCTGGAAAGAATTTTTTTTTAATATTTTTAATATTTTTTTAAATGATTGAATAATGTTTGATGTTGATCATTCTTGTTCTACAGGTATGAAGGTGGACTTCTCATTCTATTGCGTTCAAGGTTGCATAATGCTATAACTGAACTTCTTCACATCCGTCAGTTCTTCCATTGTGAATCAATAACCCATGTCCTTCATAAAGAGCGTAAGTTACCTGCTGTTTTACAGCATTTATCATAGTTTCTGGCCTCACTTTTTCCATTGCAACATTTTTCATGCAGTATTTTATGATTGTTTATGAATTGAAAATTTTTCATTTTAATTTCTTGTGTTTACAGATATTTTAACCGTTTTGTTTGTTGGGAATTTCATTGGAATAATTTGTGCTAGGTCTCTTCACTATCAGTTCTATTCCTGGTGAGTAATTATTTTTGATACTTCATTGTAAATCCAACATCTATTTTCGATAATGCAAGACCTCAGCAGTGTGATAAGACTTCTGTTGCTATTAGGATGAGTCGTTGACACGCCATTTTGTGGAGTTATATGCTTTGCTGCTTGATTTCATCATGAACCAAAAAATAAATAAATTTTAATGAATGTTATTCCAAAATAATTTATCATTTTTTTCATGCGCTATTAACATGTATTATTGATAGTTTAGTGAAAATCATGACGCCACTTTAATGTAATTTATGATTTAGTAGTCTTTGCTAAGTCGCGCTTAATTCTTCATTTGATTTACTTTCTAATCATCTTCATTACCCCAATCTTAATTATTTGGTATCTAATTATTAAGTTCTTAATATCCGGCCGCTCCTTTCGAGTGTTGCATGAGGTGCCAAATCTATTATATATATATTCTCTTAAATAACTATTATCTCTAATGAACTTTCTAATTATGTAGAGCTATTATTTACCAGTCTATCATTAATGAATCATTTGAACTTGTTACAGGTACTTCTTTTCTTTGCCTTTTCTCCTGTGGAAGACTCCCTTCCCTACCATCATCAGGTGATGTGCAATTCTAAATTAATTAAATGTTTGCAAGTTTTTGTCAATATAATTAGGGTTGAAACTAGCTTACCATAAGCGAGCTAATGTATCATTTGGCTCCGTTCCTTGAGCTAATGAGCTAAAATTTTCTGTTTGTATTCGACTTGCAAACTTATCATGCATAACACTAATTGTTCATGAACATAAGATGTAGTTGAAAGTTCATATTGCGAGGCATGTATGCATGAACATGAATATACTTACACAAGCATATACTTATACATATACATAATATATATATATATATATATATATAAATGTAATCAAACTATGATCAAGCTGAACGAGATCAAATAAAGTATTGTATGAGTTTGACTCATTACCGTGAGAACTTTAAAAAACGAGTGGAACTACAGCTAATTATTGAGCCGAATATGATCTGGCACGAACGACGAGCTTTCTTGACCGTTCTAAATATAACTAGAGACATTTAAACTGTTTACACAGGCTGTTGCTGTATGCTGGCGTAGAATTCTGCTGGAATGTATATCCATCTACTTCCTTTTCTTCGCTAATGTTGCTTTTCTTACATTTAACGATATTGTGGGGTCTCTGGATCTCTCCAATCGAGCAGCCCTTCATTGATCAAGAACTGCACTAATAAATGATCCCTCAATTATATACCGTCAGAAGATTTCAGTGCTGATATCACTTTTTTAAGGTTTTTCATGTTTGATTTTGATTATGATTGTAGGTAAAATCCAACAATGAAATTTGTATGAAAACTCAAGAGTTTGTTTTTTTCCGATTTTATGAAAGCTTTTAGACGGAACTTTTAAGGTTAGAATTGATTTGTTGGTATTAGATTTGAGGCAGTTGGACTCAAATTGAAGACTGTGATGGGATATTAGCTCATTTTCTCTCTCATTTTTGTTCTTTCACGTCTCTCTCTTGTTATTTACAACATTTATCTAATATTTTTTCAATGCTTTAATATGTTATATGGCATCCTTTGATGTGTAGTCAGAAAAGTGAAGTTGCGTAGAGAGCTTGATGGGAGTAAATATTCAGTTGTGAACTGCAATTTTTGCAAGCTGTAAGTTTTTCATATATTTAAGAGATTCAAGTGTGATTACATTGATCCAAAGCAGTTTCATAATAGCCGTTTTTGGTTAACTGCTTTTCAATATTTTTTTTTTATAAAAATTCATCGTTCGATTAGTTCACTTGTTTAGCATGATTATATTCATATTTAGGGAATTTTACGTAGCGCTCTGATCGGTCCTCTCGAGGAAAATTTATTCCATTAGGATACCGGATGCAAAATTTGCGTCCCGAGTTAAATGGGGACTTGCCACACCTGATCAGTAGCGCTCTGATCGGTCCTCTCGAGGAAAATTTATTCCATCAGGATACCGGATGCAAAATTTGCGTCCCAAGTTAAATGGGGACTTGCCGTGTGGCAAGTGGGCCCCACCCTCTATTTAATCTGTCTTAACTAAGTGTACTAAAGTGGGGCCTAATCCAATAATTTTTCCTGGTGAGTCTTATTGATGAAAGAGCGTTATGATAATTAATATCCTCTTTATTCAAGACTGATTTGTGCATCCATGAGCAAATAAAGAAATAAAAGATGAAAGATACATG